AAAAATCTTATTTTTGGCTGGACTCAGAAGTAGAAGCTCTCAGAGAGGACAGCCTACGTCTCTTGGCAATCTGTTCCTGGCGCTTTTCTTTGGCCTCCTTCATTCTCTTGGCCAAAAGTTTAGCATATTCTGCAGCCTCTTCCTTATTTTTCTTAGTACGCTGCTTCTTCAGAGCAATACGCTGGCGTTTATGTTTCAGGACACGTGGAGTTACAAGTCGCTGAATCTTGGGTGCTTTGGTCCTAGGTTTCTTACCTTCTTTGTTTAAGGGCTTCCTTACAACATATTGGCGGACATCATCTTCTTTAGACAGATTGAAGAGTTTGCAGATTCTGCTAGCTCTTTTGGGCCCCAGACGACGAGGTACTGTGGTATCAGTCAGTCCAGGGATATCCTTCTCTCCTTTTTTTACAATAACCAAGTTGAGCACGCTCAGGTTGGCATCCACAAGACAACCCCGAACAGATTTGCACTTTCTTCAGTTCTCCTTGGTCTATGACAGGAATGCCCCTTACTCAGTAGCAGGCGAACACGGCCATGGGTCAAGACACCCTGCTTCATGGGGAAACCTTGCTTGTCGTTCCCACCACCGATTCGGTCCACGTAACCCTTCCATTCTTCACCCAGCGCGTCGGCAGCAACTTCCGTGGCCATACGCTTCTCATAGAAAGTACGAAGTTTGCGTTCATCGTCCACGTCAATGAGTTTCTGGCAGCCAGTGGCTGGGAAGGAGATATTCAGCTTCATCCTGAAGCAGCTGGTCACCTCTGAGGCGCCACGAAAAAGAGGTCAACTGTACTTTCTAAGTGTCTTTGATTATTAACGTGCAATCTAGTAAGTACGATCTTGACTTTTTTTGCCTACCAGATTTTACTATGGATTTTTCATTCTTTACGTACATATATAACAGGGATAGTAATTGTAAAATACTTCTCAGTATGTGTCCTTATTGCTAAGCTGGTTTCTCTTCCTGCATCCCCTCAACCGCCATTTCTAGGCTTGGGGCTTAGTGCTCCTGGAACAGTGGCAAAGGGGAAGTCCTGCCCCACAAAAAGAGGCACTTTAGAGGAGGAGAGTGAGGACCATGGAGGAAGGCAAAGACTTCCTCCTCCTGCAGGCCTGTGCATGACAACCAGTGGCTGCGACAGTCCTCCGCGAAGCCAGCGCTGAGCTTAGTCACCACCTAGACAAGGGGACACACAGCAGTGAACACATTTTCTGAAGAGCAAAAATCAGGGGTTTTCACGCACTAGAAAGGAAGGAGGTTCGTGGCTGTTTATGCTAATTCGTGATGGGACGTGTCTGGCTAAATCTGTGCGTGCTTGGTGGAAACGCGTCCCGTTGCTCATCGGTCAGGAAAGGTAGGTCCAGGAAGGGCCTGAGGAAATGGGGTCACACTTGAAGTCTATCAGTGTGGTCCGGGCAATGGCGGGGGCGTTGCAAAGGTCGCGGTCACTTTGCAGCTGCAGCTGCTTAAACCAGGTGTGGCGAAACAAAGCAAGTGCAGATATAAGGGGAAACGATTTTTTCCTCCTTTTATAAGGTGGAAGCTTGGGGACTAGAGCAGGCTGTGACAGACACTGCCGGGAGAGAGAGTGCATCGGGCTAGTGACCTTTTCCTCTTCCGTAGCCTGGGGAGGCTGCAAGACTTGAGGAGAAGCCAGCTTTGGCTCGGAAACTTGTCCAGTGTGACAGAAGCCACAGCGCTTGACTTTGGGGATGGCCAGATCCCCAAGCTCCCCGCAGCCGGGTGCGGTGTGGACTCCAGCAGGGAATAATTGCACAGGGTCCTAAAAGGCCAGACGGGACCAGCAGTATCCCCGAAGACAACAGGCTGGGTCTGGGCCGGACCAGCCACCAGCAAGGACCAGGGCCTGCCGTCTGGGCCGCAGCCTCTTCCCATCAGCCCCCGCCCGCTGGGGAGAGGGAATGAAGAGAATTTTCTCTCTCTTTAAAAAAAGGAGTTACCAAACGGCACTTTAAAAGGGGAGAGCCCGACATATCGTTGATTGGCAGGTTTGTTTTCCCCCTGCTCCTTACTAGGGTACAAGCTCGGAGGAAGAATAGATCAGTTACAGGGAACACAGAAACCACATTTTCCTTGAAAAACTGAGTGGTCGTGTGCAAATTTGTGATTCTGCTACATGCAAATACTTTAATAGCGATATCGGAACATTTAATGTGCAATGATTAATTGAGAGAACAAACTGTTAAATTCCCCTTCAGTGTCTCTGTCACACGTCACTCACTGTCCCGGCCCAGATGGCTCCAGAACTGCCGATGAGCCTCGATCCCTCTGTCGCCTGTGTGTGCTCTAGTCCCCTCCGCCTTCACTCAGGCTTCGGGTTGCCCCGGATCAAAGCCTCTGCCAGCTTTTCTTGCCCCCCTAGAAACCTTCTTTCTTTTTGGTCTCTTCCTCTGAGCAACCACGAAGAGGAGCAAGAGACCGCACCGGCCTCTTCACTAAAATCAGAATATTTTCCACCCAGGAGGGAATATGCAAAACACTCTCGTGCTTGAGAAGAATAAGAGATGCGTCATTTGGGTCTCTCCACTCACATGAGTTTCTCGGTGACTTCCCCCCTCTTCTACTTGCTGTCTTAAGCTGGAAACTGCATGTAGCATCATCTGCAAGCAACAGGGTGCTGGGTGCTTAGCCGAGGTGGCCCCTAAATGTGACCTCAACGGCCACCTGCTTTCGTGACGTTCTTATACCAGGGCATCATCCATTCAGCTCCTCCAGAAATGGTTTCTTAATGAGATTTCAAGTTATTTTGAACAAGGATTAGCAGCACATTAGAATGTTTGCATTACAATCGCACTACCTAGCGGAATCTGCTTCCCATACTTTCTTCCTTTTTATTATATATTTTCATGTCCCCAGGTAATAGCACTTCTCTGGAACAAGGTCAACAGCAGTTTAACTCAAACTCGACTGACCTGTGCAAACTGCTTATTTTAGCACGAGATGCTTTCCTGGCCCCTACCTGTCTTAGAGGGAGGTGGTTAGCTATTCAATTTTTTAAGAATCTCAAGAGAGGGGGATTCCGTGTTTTCCCTTAGGGTTTCAGCCTAGGTTTCCACACCCTCAAACGTTAAGAAGCTATTCCCAATCCTTTCCACCCAGATCACTCATGTGTCTTTGCGACTCTCAGCTGGTCCTCAGTGGAGATGAAAGGCGGCCGTTCGCTGCCACCTGTGCCTGGAACGCTCTCGCTTTCTGGAAGGCCGTGGAATCGTGCCTTAGCTTATGGAATGAAGTCTTAGGAAAGGAGGTTTTCTTCACTTGAGTTGGGGATTAAATGTTTGGAATCCTTTGGTAGCCATAGTAGCCATAGTGGCTGGATATTCTAGATTTCAATGATAATAGTAATAATATTGGTTATTTACTTTGTGTCAGGGACATGTATTCTATGAAGTATATAGCATGGATATTCCAACATATATCAGGAATCAAAAACTGAATAGAGAGGTTAGCTTGAGCAAGCTTACATGGCTGGTAAGGGTGGAGCTGGAATTAGAATTCAGGTGGTCCGACCTCAGAATCCGGGCTTTTAGCTATATTGTCCTGGGACACGTGTACATTTGTTCATTTATTGATCAAATATTAATTGAATAATGTGTCAGTCATTGTACTGTTTTCCTGCAAAAATGATCCTGACACTTAAAGTGCTCATAGTCTAGTCGGGGAGACAGACATGTAAACACAGAAATTCCTGCATAATGTGAGAACTGTTCTACTAAAGATATGTATAAATAACTTTGTACCTTGATGCCGCTTAATACTATAGGGGTTTCATGTCTTTATATAATTTTGGGGGAAATATGTAATACATTCACATTGTACCAGCCTTGTAGGTTAAGAT